ATAAATCTAGTACCCACCTGACACCGTACATAGTTATTATAATAGTATTGACTATATTACTTATGCTGTACTTTACATCTTCATGAATATTCTGTAACTACCAATTGGTGCATCTTAATCCCATCATCTTTTTCAGCCAGCTCTTTAATCCCCCTTCCATCTGACAACTATGTACTGTAGCTATTTCCACTTTATTATTCATAATTTTGTTCTCTTTTTCTTAAGTCTTAAACATTTCTTGTAAGACTGTTTTGGTGGTGATGAACTCCTTAAGCTTTTTCTTGTCTGAGAAGCTCTTTATCTCTCCTTTGATTCTAAATGATAGCCTTGCTAGGTAGAGTAATCTTGGTTGTAGGTCATTGGTTGCCATTACTTTGAATATTTCTGGCCAGTCTTGTCTGGTCTACAAAGTTTCTGTTGAGAAATCAGCTGACAATCTTATGGGAGCTCCTTTGCACATAACTATCTGCTTTTCTTCTGGTACTTGTAAGATTTTCTTGTTGTCTTTGACCTTTGGTATTTTAATTATGATGTGTCTTGGTGTGGGCTTCTTTGGGTTCATCTTGTTTAGGACTCTCTGTACTTTCTGGTCTTATTTGTCTATTTCCTTTACCAGGTTAGGGAAGATTTCCTGTCATTATTTCTGCAAATAGGTTTATAATCCCTTGCTTTCTCTTCTCCTTCTGGTACCTGATTAATGTGGATTTTGTTACTTTTTCTTTTAATATGTTTTTATTGATTTCCGAGAGGAAGGGGAAGGAGAGAGAGATAGAAACATCTGTGATGAGAGAGAATTATTGACCGGCTGCCTCCTGCATTCCCCGCACTGGGGATTGAGCCCACAACCTGGGCATGTGCCATTGACCGGAATTGAGCCCAGGACCCCTCAGTCCACAGGCCAACCCTCTATCCACTGAGCCAAACCAGCTAGGGCAGATTTTGTTACTCTTGATATTGTTCCATAGGCCCCTTAAACTAGCCTCACTTTTTAAAAAAATTTCTGACTGGTTTTTTTAAATGGTTTTTATCTCTTTGTGTAAGTTTTCATGGAGTTTATTCTAAGTTCCTTGAGCATCCTTATAACCAATGTTTTGAACTCTATCTGGTAGATTGCTTGCCTCCATTTTGTTTAGTTATTTTTCTGGTGTTTTGTTCTTCCAAAGTATTAGGTGGATCTGCTACATCTCCTAGTCTTGGTGGGGTGGCCTTATGTAGTAAGTGTCCTGTGAGACCCAGTCTGCCTGTTAACCTGAGCTGGGTGTTCCAGGGGTATCCCTTATGTAGGTTGTGTGTATCCTCCTATTGTAGTTGAGCCTTGATTGCAATTGGCAGGTTGGTGGGATTGACCCTCAGGCTAACTGGCTGTGAGGACTGGCCATGACTACAGCAAACAAGCTGTTTTATAAAAACTGACCCTACAGAGTGGATTTCGCCTTGGCAGGGCTCTGGTGCCTGCCAAGTTCACCCTTAGGGTGTGTCATTTATGGAGCTAATTGGGTGGTTCTCTGGTATGGTCTGAAGCCAGCCAGGCATGTTGGTTCTGGGGGTGGCTCTGGTATAGGCCAAATTCAGCTACTGCCTATGCCTGGCCTAGAGCCACCTGGTAGGCGCTACAGAATAATCTGTGGTTGGTAGCTTGGAGGTACCTGGAAGAGAGGCTATGCTATGAACCAAGGCCAGCTGCCACTAGAGCCAGGTGCCACTCAGCAGGAGATACAGGGCATGCTGAGGCCAACTACTGCTTGTTTGAGTTTATAGAACTTTGAGAGGTGTTTTTTTAAAAATCCTCACCAAGGACAGAGGAAGGGCTGGGGCGGGGGGGATGGTGCAGAGAGAAAGAGATGCATCGATGTGAGAAACATTGATTGTTTGCCTTCTGCACATGCCCCAACCAGGGATTGAACCTGCAATCCAGGCATGTGCCCTGACTGGGCATCGAACTGGCATACTTTGGTGCCCAGAATGATGTTCAACTATCCGGCCACTCCAGCTGGGTGACCTTTGAGGGATTTTAGGACAGTCCAAAGCTTGAGCCAGGTCCAGTAGGAACAGTCTGTGAAAGAGGTTCAGGCTAGTGTATGAGGTCTCAAATAATCATCAGGGTGAGGCCAGCAAGTGATATTAGCTAGTTGGATGGAGACAGATTAGGTGCCCACCTGGGAAGGTGCAGCAAAAGAACAGTGGCACCTGCCAGCATTTTGTCTAGGCCAGAGCTGCTCCTCCATCCCATACCCTAAAGCCAGACAATTCATTTCCTTTCCATATGTCCTGGCACTTTTGAGCTGCTGCCCCAGTACTGGAGCTCAGAGCAAGGGAGTGTGTTAGCGAGTAAGTCCATGCCAGACCTTTTAAGAGGAACATCTGGGACTCCAGTAGCCCTTCATCTCACCTCAACTAAATCCCCACTGATTTTTACAGCCATAGATTATGGGGCTGGGACCCCTTGCTTCTCAGGGAGACCTCTGCAGTTAAGATATCCCTCTGGCCCTAAATGGTTTGGCTCAGTGGATAGAGTGTCAGCCTGCGGACTGAAGGGTCCCAGGTTCGATTCTGGTCAAGGGCATGTACCTTGGTTGCGGGCACATCCCCAGTAGGAGGTGTGTAGGAGGCAGCTGATTGATGTTTCTCTCTCATCGATGTTTCTAACTCTCTATCCTTCTCCCTTCCTCTCTGTAAAAAATCAATAAAATATATATATTTTAAAAAGATATCCCTCTGGATTATTTTTTAAATTTTATTTACTTATATATATTTTTAGAGAGAGAGTGGAAGAAACAGATAGAGAAACATCGATGTGAGAGAGACACATCTATTGGTTGCCTCCCGCGTGTGCCCTGAAGAGATTGAGCCTGCAACTGAAGTATGTGCCTTTGACCAGAATTAAACCCAGGATCATTTAGTCCATGGGCCGACTCTCTATGCACTGAGCCTAACCGGCTAGGGCTCCCTCTGGAGTCTTAATATACGTTGTAATTTTGCCACAATTTAGGTTGTAATTTTGATGTGGTCATGGGAGAAGGTGAGCACCACATTCATTTACTCTGCCATCCTGACCAGAGTTCTCAATGTGCTATTGCTTTAGTTTTCTCAAGGCAATTAGTCTTTGGGATGATGAAGACCTTTTAGAAAGGCACATATTGAATGAAGCATTAATTCCTATTGGCCACCTCAGTTCAAAAGTACTTTGTTCACCTCTCCACTCTTTTGTATTGCTAATTGTATTCAGTCAAACACTATAACAAATATGTGTTCCCCAAGTTTCTAAAATCTCAGTTCCATGTTCCCAGTTTTGACTAACTTTCTGAGGTTTATAATTCATGATCTTAACACAAGAGCAGAAAAGCCTCCTTCTTTCTCAAAAGTCTGCTTGAAGTTGACTCTATATTCTCAACCAGTACTCAAAATATTCTCACCCAGAAGTTTAGCAGACAGGGCAATATTAGAAAGAAGCTGTTATTCTGTTCTTAAGAGAACAGAATCCTAATTTATAAAAACCCAGGGTCCATAACATCCAAAATGACCAAAGGCTCGACCGGCTGGAAGTTAGTGCTGGGTTGCCATGGCGACCCAGCACTGCCACTACTGTGGGCGCCCTGACCAAGCACTGACTGCAGAGGGGGCTGCGGATCAGGCCCGCCTCTCTGATCAGGCCCGTTGATAGGCCGGAGATGCTGACTGGCATAGAAACCAACCAATCAACCAAATCTGGGTGAAGTGTGAGGAGCCAATGGCTGCCTAAGAGGCGAAGCTTTTGACGCTGACTGGCATAGAAACCGACCTGTCAGAACCTAATCTGGGTGAACTACAAAGGCAGAACCTAAGGTGGGGGCTGAGGAGGGGTTTTAAGGGCAACAGCTGTTGGGTGTAAGGTGTAAGAAAGCAGTTCAATTTTTTAATGACCAGTTTGGCAGTATAGTGCATATAGCTGGCTATCAGTCCAGATACAGGGATTATGTATTTTTGTCTGCCAAGAGCATCTCCTGACCAAAAAGGCTCCACCCCCCCACCCCCCCCATTTAAGCAGTCCTATATAATCTGTACTAAAAGGGGTAATATGCTAATTAGACCAGGTCGACCAGCCATCTTCCGGACAAAGCCATGGTGGTGGGTCCAAGGCAGAGGCCGTTTGGGGTGATCAGGCCAGCAGGAGAAAGCAGTTGGGGGCAAGATCAGGCCAGCAGGGGAGGGCAGTTGAGGGGCGAGATCAGGCTGCAGGGGAGGGCAGTTAGGGGTGATCAGGCAGGCAGAAGCAGTTGGGGGCAATCAGGCCAGCAGGAGAGAGCAGTTGGGGGCAAGATCAGGCCAGCAGGGGAGGGCCGTTAGGGGTGATCAGGCAGGCAGAGGCAGTTGGGGGGCGAGATCAGGCCGCAGGGGAGGGCAGTTAGGGGCAATCAGGCAAGCAGGCAGGTGAGCAGTTAGGAGCCAGTGGTCCCAAATTGCAAGAGGGCTGTCCAACTACCGGTGGTCAGACATCCCCCAAGGGGTCCCCGATTGGAGAGGGTACAGGCTGGGCTGAAGGAACACACACACACACACACACACACACACACACACCCTTCCGTGCACGAATTTTGTGCAGCGGCCTACTAGTGGTATATACGAGGTATATAAGCCACCTATACTAGAATTCCCTATGATTGGTGTGTATGTAATGTTACATGAAAGAACTGTTGACCTTTTGCAATTTAGATAAAAATTTGATTTGTCATCTAATAGCTAGACTTGACAGTTCTTCATGGAACAGCTATGTGATAAGTATGTGTCCTTTTATAGGTGTGGAGCAGAGATTCAGGCACCATTGACCCAGTTGCAATTTTTTTTTTTTTTTACTATTGCTCTTTCCACCTCCATCTCCCTTCCATATACCCATACAGCTTGATAACTTCTCTATTAATCATTTTAATCATCTGATGGATGTTTATGTTTTAGCTGTATATGGTTATGATTAACCCAACTGACATCTATACCATAACAACTCTTTATTCTTTTCCTCTTAATAGGTGACAGAGCTGAATGAGCCACTATCCAATGAAGAAAGAAATCTTCTTTCTGTGGCCTACAAGAATGTAGTTGGGGCACGCCGTTCTTCCTGGAGGGTCATTAGTAGCATTGAGCAGAAGACTTCTGCAGATGGTAATGAGAAGAAGATAGAGATGGTCCGTGCTTATCGTGAAAAGATAGAGAAGGAGTTGGAAGCGGTATGTCAGGATGTGCTGAGCCTGCTAGATAACTACCTGATCAAGAATTGCAGTGAGACCCAATATGAGAGCAAAGTGTTTTACCTGAAGATGAAAGGGGACTATTACCGCTACTTGGCTGAAGTAGCCACTGGAGAGAAAAGGGCGACTGTTGTGGAATCATCTGAGAAGGCCTATAGCGAAGCCCATGAGATCAGCAAGGAGCACATGCAGCCTACTCACCCCATTAGATTAGGCCTGGCTCTTAACTACTCCGTTTTCTACTATGAGATCCAGAATGCCCCAGAGCAAGCATGCCACTTGGCCAAGACCGCCTTCGACGATGCCATTGCTGAGCTCGACACTCTCAATGAGGACTCCTACAAGGACTCCACTCTCATCATGCAGCTCCTTCGTGACAACCTAACGCTCTGGACAAGCGATCAGCAAGACGACGATGGTGGAGAAGGCAACAATTAAGGCCCCTCAGGTGGACTGGCAGCGCACGCTGATGCTACTACTGCAGTCTTTATTTTTTTCCCATGAGTTTGGGGGTCGGGTGGGGGAGGGAAAGGGAGGGATGACCTTCCTAGGGAGAAACCCACGACCTGTCCTGTCTTTGATCGCCTCTTTGACATTTTTGCCAAAATACCACTAGTGGAAAGTCAGGCTAGCTGTGCTGGTATTGGAATAGCAGCCTCACACCGGCATATGGACTGTTCTGTAGATTAATGCAAGTGGAGCTGTCTATCTTTAATTTAACTTATTGCTAGATAATAGGATTTTAAAATGAAAAGGAAACTTCAGTGGAATGGCCCTCATTCAGTAAGTTCTGTGGTTCCAGTAAGGATTTTTATGTACATATGCTCTTGTCTTAAGTTTTGGGTACTTTCTATCTCATCTGTATTAGCTGTGCATTTTTTTCAGGGTGTACTCTACCAGACATGGAATAGTTTAAATCCCAAACTGACAGACTTGGAACATAAGGTATATTTATCCTTATGGTTTTTAGGCCTTGCTAGTTTTCTGAAGTCTCTGATTAGATGACAGTATTAACACTAAATTGCAGTTTACAGTATTTCTACATTACAGCCATATGTAACATCAAGCCATTGACTGTGTATTTTTCTTTGCTAGTTATTTTGGCTTTACATCCTTATTCAGCCATATCCAGGTTGGTTATCTCCTAGGCCAAAGGCTTGCCTGAGAAGCATCAAAGCTACTTTAGGTATTGGTTAATAGGTGCTTGGCAGGTGGCTGTGGGATTTTTATCTTTCTTTCCTCTTAAGTCCACCACAAAAGTTATTAATCACTTTAATAGAAACATTAAACACCACAAAAAATAGAGAAAATTCAGGTCTGTATGTCATTTATTGCATTGATATTTCAGAGAAATCCTGATTTGTGAGCCGCCACAGCTCCTTCCTCAGGGATTACGCTGCCGTTTTGCTCTTCACTTGAGTCTTCCCCACTGTACCTTATGCTGATGCCACTCAGTTGGGTTGAAAAGGTGTGGGTTGTAGAAGCTGGGTGGCCGTTTTGAGAAAGTTTGTGGTGCAGTGTGTGAAAATTCAGGTGCTAGAAGCTTACTGGTAGGAAAATCCAAAAGGAAGAGCTCTGTTCATAAACACTCCGTCCGGTTCTGGAAGCCTTGTAAGTGTGTCAGTTTTTCCTCCCTGAAAACACTTTTCCCCCAATCAGTTGTTACAGGAACACAAACTAAAATCATTATCAGATAATAAATACTAAACTCCTATTTGACCAAAACTTTCTCTATATATTTTTTTCTCTTTAACAAAAACATGGACATCAGATTCATTTCTTGTGTAATCAGTGCATGTTTCAGAATTGAAGGAAACCACATTGCTATCCTCACAAATTTGTTTTCATTTAGCCTTAGGTCCTCCATTCTCATTTTGGATAAACCTGTCTGAAAACATGATCTGTTGCATGTGTGTTCAGCCTTTTTTATAAAATCAGTAACTGAATTCCCAAGATAGGTCATGACACCTGACTTGTTCCTTTGTTTTATTTAGGCAAGGAGAGGTATCAGTAATGATTGAGGAAAACTGACACTTGCTTTCGCTAATACCAAAATTGAGCTTACAATTACGAAATGAATACCTTTAACAGAATCCAGGTGACAGTGAAGATTGAATGGTGATGATACTCTGTAACATTGCACAGTTTATCCAGCATGACTTTCCTTAGAAGGTTCCCTTCCTATGCTAGAGTGAAAGTCCCAATTAACTGAATCCTACCAGAAGCTCTGTAAAAGCTCTTTTGCCCTTACAGGGCTCTAAAGTCAATGCCATGGAAGGGAAAAAGATTTGAGGGGGGAGGATAGGTGGGGCTTTCCTTAATTTATCTTCATGTCCCGTGAGCAGTGTTGTGTCCTTGTAGCATTTGGAAATGATTTACTGGAATTACAAAACCTATATATTTTTTTAAATTTTCAGCTTTGGCTCTGGCTGCTTTTTAGAATAATGCAAGATAAAATCATACCTGAGGGCTAAAAATGAAGAGGAAATGGGAGACTTGATATTTAAGCAGCTTGAATGGTTTCTTTTCTTTTCTTTATTTTTAAAGAAATGCACTTGCCTATGATATTGTCTCTCCAGTGAAATGATTATTCCTCCATTACTCTATTGATACAATATTGTGCATGCTAGTGTTGTATTTCTATAAAGTAGCTTGAAATTTATTAACTTATACTGTAGGTGTTATGTATTCCTATGACAAAAAATTAAGTCTTCAAATTTTTTAAAGTTTTTTTAATTTAAGTTTTCCTTTGGGGGTAAAGTTTGCTCTACCAAATAGTGATTGTAACAAATTGATCTGTTTTGGATGTTGCTATAGTGACATGCAGTTATATATTTTGGTTTTTTTTGGGGGGTGGGGCAAAAGAAACACCAGTGTTAGCTTAATCTTAATGTCTGGTGTTTGTCATGGTGAAATTATAACTATTACAGTGTAGGAGAACAATGAATATGTTCTCTGAATGAGCCTTTGTGCTTTTTGTCATGTTATGCAGTGAACTATTTTTAAGGTCTAATCAGTGATTATTTTTCCAACTCCGTGTTTCTCTAAGGAATTATTTCACACACGGACCATTCTTAGCAGTTTTCCTCAGTGATGGAATATCATGAATGTGAGTCATTATGTAGCTGTCGTACATTGAGCAAATAAACTTACAGATCTGACATCAGTGCTGCATAGTTTTACATTATTTAATGAGTTTAAATTTTCCTTTGCTTTTCAAGGTTTGATTGGAGTTGGTATCCTCTCTCTCCCCACTCAAAGAATGAGGTTGGATTCCGGGGAAAAGCGCTTACCGGGAATCAGACACGGGTTTACTGACCTTGAAAAACCATTGCACCTTTTGGACCTTCATTGTTTCTCCTACAAAAAGAGTGCTTTCAACTAGATCTTTGAAGATGGCATACAGTTTGTGAGAAGTGCAAAGACCTTAGTTCGAATCACGGCTCCTCTTGATGTTAGGGCAAATGACTAAACTTCTAAGCCTTGGGTGGTGGGGGTTAGGGGTGGGTGTAAGTCTAAAATTGGGTAATGTGCCTGGTTCAGTATCTTTCAGTTAGGTGCCCAGTATTGTTGAAGATCTCATTATGTGTTTGATGAGGTGGTTCTTTGTACTTACAAATGTTTATAAATATACTAGAGGCCTGATGCGTGAAATTGTGCAGTTGGCGGGGGTGGGAGGTCGCGGTGGGGTGTTCCTCAGCCTGGCCTGTGCCCTCTTGCAGTCTGGGACCCTCAGGGAATGTCCAACTGATGGCTTTAGGCCTGCTCCCCACAGTGAATGGGCCTAAGCTGTCAGTCGGACATCCTTAGCGCTGCTGGCAGCGCGCTGCTGGCAGCGCACCGCTGCCGCTGCACTTAACCTTGCGCTCGCCCACTGTGAGCCCTTAGCTGCGCTCCCCCTGTGGGAGCACACTGACCACCAGGGGGCAGCTCCTGCGCTGAGCGTCTGCCCCCTGGTGGTCAGTGCACATCATAGCGACCGGCCAAGTTGCATATTAGCCTTTTATTATATAGGAGGCTTGTTTTGGACTTTTTAGTCCTTCTGAAGTCGTCAGCAGCCATAGTTAGCTTGCTGTTGCTGATGGCAGCTGTCAGAATGTGTCCACCACCTGAACTGCATCCCTGGTGTATGGGGTGTTCTGCCTTGCTTTTGCTAATACCAAAATTGAGCTTACAATTATGAAATGAATACCTTTAACAGAATCCAGATGACAGTAAAGATTGAATGGTGATGATACTCTGTAACATTGCAGTTTATCCAGCATGATCTACAAAGAGGGCTGTGTCTACAGGAAGGAATGCCAGGGCCAAAGGCTTTCCTCCTCCATCAACTTGGGCTTGCTCCAGCAAAGGAAGGAGAGAAGGGGTAAGGGGCACTGGTTCACACAGTGGAAAAAGATAGCTTTTTAATTTTTTGAGAAATTGTAATTTCTATTTTAGGAATAACACTGTGTGACTAGGTTTTTGCCTATGTAGTCAGTGAATTCACCTATGAATTCATCACTCAAAATCATCTTGAGAGTGCCACTGCAAAGTATAGCTGTGGAAATAGAAATGACCAATGTGCCTAAGGTCTCTCAACTTGCTGGTAAGCCCACGTTGGAGCCCCACCCAATCTTTGGCCCTCCTGAGCTATGTCAGGCTATTTCTGCTCAGCTAGGAGGCTCAAACTGAGCAGCTGCCAACATTCAGCCACACTGAGAGTTTTTGTTTGTTTTAATTTTATTGATTTCAGAGAGGAAGGGAGAGAGAAATGTCAATGATGAGAGAATCATTGATTGGCTGCCTCCTGCTCGCCCCACACTGGGGATCAAGCCCACAACCCAGGCATGTGCCCTGACCAGAATCGAACTGTGACCTCCCAGTACATAGGTCAACACTCAACCACTGAGCCACATTGGTCTGACTGAGAGCTTTTAATATGGGAGTTACTGTGGGTAGAGAGATGAATCCGACATCTTGCTAACAGGAAAGTACAGATATGGGTAAGATCAGTAGAGTCAAGCTTATTGAAAGTAACAGACTCTCCAAGGTTAGAAAGAAGGGTTAGCTCCTGAAAGTTGCTATTTTTACACCCTTGTTCCTTCCATGTAATTTCCTATTATGAGTACCTGGAATTTGACAGGATTTCAGACTTGACTTAAATCTCCCCTGCGATAAAATGTCTGTTGTGTTTCTGTCCAGTTTTAAAGAGTTCCTTAATGCAGCATTTCTCGAACTTTTTCATCTTAGGACCCCTTTACACAACTCTTAAGTGCTTTTGTGTATGGGGGGGCGTATCTAAAACTGGAAACTAAAAATACTTATTTACTTAAAATAATAACACATTACATGTTAAGATAATTTCATGAAAAGTAATTGTTTTCCAAAGTAAAAATAGGAACAATAGCATTATTTTAGAATTTTGCTGTTCTCTTTGTAGAGCTCAGCTGGACTCATAGCTGCTTCAGCATTCAATCTATTGTGCTATGTTGTTTGAGTTGAAGTATTTGGAGAGAGAAGAATATCTGGAATTGCATGATGCACCAGATTAGGCACCAAGGAGGGGGGGTCCTGTTCCTCAGTGCACTTTGGAATTGAAAAAAATTACTGATAGTATGAAGTAATTAAATAAAGATGATGAGAGAGGTGCAGGAGAGTAATTATAAAGGGGTGAATGATCTGCTCTGCTTGGGCATCCACAGAGCACAGTTCTCCATTCCTAGAACTTTGCAGGTGGAGCGGAGGGGCCACCAAATGAGATTTAATGGCAGGGGACCTAAAAGTGTAGCAGGTAAGTTTGCTATTCAGTGTGAGTGGTTGTCCTTCACTCTATTTATGTGTCATTACCACATGCATTGGCCTCTGCTGTTCAGCTGAAACTGCATGTTGACTCACTGCTGATCTGAGCGGCTAAGAATGTCAGTTACCTACGCTTGGTTGCACAGTTCTCAAAGCAAGCTGGGCGAAACATTCTGAAAACTAGCTGGCTAACACTGTTCTCTGTTTCTAAAAGTTGGCATTAAGTGGTCACCAGCCTAATCAGATCATTAAAATGTGGGATACCAGCTTGGATAAGGATAAATGTGGGTGAATCTGAATGGCTACAAACCCCACTTCTAATTAACCATAGACACCTGTGGTCAGAGAAGAGCTGGGGCAAGAGTGTCTGGGTAACACTGATGAATCCTTAGTATCAGGGTTTAGGATTGTTGGTATCCCATCTTCAGACTTAATCCACATCTGGCAAAACAAAATGGGCTAGGATTTCCCACTTTAAGTAATATTCTCAAATGGCACTCAGTTATCCACAGTATGGGAGAGGAAAGTTATTTTGGGGAACTTTTTTATTTGAATAAGTAGTACATGCATGTTAAAAATACAAGAGGGTGTAGTCTAAAACAGGTTTTTGTACTGCCTTTGAGCTAAGAATGGTTTTGGGGGTTTTTTTTCACCCAAGGATAATTTTCCATTGATTTTTAGAGAGGGAAAGGCAGAAATATCAATGTGAGAGAAACACATTGATTGGTTGCCTCCTGCATGAGCCCCAACCAAGGTCCAGGCTAGGGCGGGCCTACAACTGAGGTATGTGTCCTTGACTGGAATCGAACCCAGGATCCTTTGGTCCACACGCCAACACTCTATCCACTGAGCCACATCCATTAGGGTGAGCCAAGCATGGTTTTTACATTTTAAAGGTAGTGAAGAAAAAAAGTACAAAGAGACACTGTGTTGCCCATGAAGCTTAAGGTATTTACTATCTTGACAGTAGTTTGGTGACTCCTGGTTTATCAGTAACTCTCCTATGCCTGCTTCCCAAGTCACCCATTTTCTTAGAGGTAATCACTATTCTCCAGTCTCCCTAGTCTGGCTCAGTTTGCGACAGTAGACTTAACTCTGGCTTTGAGAAAGAAAGATTTTTGCTTCTTTTGAACTCTCGGTGGCTCTAGGTTCATAAAAGGCTTTGCTTTGTGATTTTAAATATGGATAACTGAAATTTAGTCAACCCAATAAGTACCTCTTGAATTAGATTTAACCCCAATTTTAAGGGTAGCTAGCTAGATTGTATTGGGCCACTTATCCCCCAGCTCTTTATTTTGGAAATTTTCAAAGATGAAAGTTGAAAAGGATGGCACAGTGACAACCAAATACCCACTACTTGATACGACAGTTAAATTTTGTTGTATTTGTTTTATATTTCTCCGTCTTGTAGAGCCTCGAAAAATAATGACATTTTTTTGTAACCACCCCAAAACACACAGACCGGGGGGCAGGGTCAATTGGGGAAAAGGGAGACATGTAAAACTTTAGATAATAATTAAAAACACACACACACCACAGACCAAATAGAATCTAATTAAAATTATTGGATTTCATTATGTTTCTTTAGACCAGGGGTGGGCAAACTTTTTGACTCGAGGGCCACAATGTGTTCTTAAACTGGACCGGAGGGCCGGAACAAAAGCATGGATGGAGTGTTTGTGTGAACTAATATAAATTTAAAGTGAACATCATTACTAAAAGGGTACAAATGGGCCGGATCCGGCCCTTTGCCCACGGCTGCTTTAGACTGTTCTTTTCACCTCTTCTCAAGAACCAGGCTACTTAATGGTCTTATGGAATGGCCCACGTTCTGGGTTTGCACAGTGGTTTCCTCCTGTGTCATTTAATTTGTTCCCAGCCATCTTGGGGTACTTTTTTTTCTCTTGCATAAAGATTTATTCTGTCCCTCCAGCCTTAGTTGCTCCATGCGGAATAGTGGCTGGCCAGCACCCTCCCTCTGAATCAGGTCATCTTCAGCAGCAGCCAGCACCAGGGCCTGTTACCCGAGCTTAGGAAGACTAAGCTGCAGTTCTGAACAACAGGCTAGAGTACCTGCCACTTGGAGTGTTTTGCCTCCTGAAAACCCTCTCCTACCTCTCCTGGATGAATAAAGTATTAGGTGCCCAGTCAGTGAGCTATGTCAGACTTGAACTCACTTGGCCTGGTGGGTCCTGGTGGCTTGCAGCTGTTCTGCCTGGATCTTGGGGAGGTGGTGAAACGGTGCAGCCCACCATGTACTTGGGAGTTCTTAGGGCTAGGCAGGCACGTCAGAGGTTGGCTGCCTTCGTGTTGAATCTACATCCCTAGAATGAATCTAGGCTTGTTTTAACATGATCTTAGTGTAAACTGGTTCTTCCTCCCATAATGGGCAAATCACTCTACTAGCTGGGTCTTCCTTAGGGGCTAAGAAGAGGCATCAACACCTTATACCTCTTTTCACCTTCTCTTAGCTTGAAGCCAGAATTTAGGGATGGGGTTTTGATGGTCAGTTCTTTAAAGCCTGATGGGAAGCACATTTTGAATTCTATCAAAGCATATTGCCTTCCAAAAATCCTTGCCTCCCAATATATGGAGTTATGTCATTATGGTTTATAGGTGTTTTTGCCTGCTCAGTTTTAAAAACATTCCTTTTGGGAAAGTTGTGAGTTAGTATTGAGTTAGTCTAGGTTGAGTAGTGGAAGACTTAAGAATGATAAATATTCTCTTGCCCTAGATTAGGTTACATTTGAAATAGAGACAAGATTTAGGCAGTAATGGCCAGTATATAGGATGAGCAGCTTGTGGCTGACTACAAGCATCTTGGGTGAGTCCCTTTCCATATAATCTCCCTAAATGCAGTCCAGATGTCTAGG